CGAAGCAATGGTTCGAATTAGCAACAGCTTGATTAAACAAGCCGACAAGGCCGGCCTCGTTTTCATTCTCATAAAGAAACAGGGAATATTGGACGTAATAAATTCTCGCTCGAGACGCAACACAGATTTTCATCCTCACGGTTATTCGTTTATTCCCGGTTTGCTGCGTTTCCTCCGTACAAATGAACCTGTTACCGAAGGGTTTGCGCGAAATTTACATTCGCCCCGGAGAGAAAGGTGAAACAGACCGAAGGAGAGAGATTTCTACCGTTATAGTTCAGCCAACGGAGCCGCCTCCGTCTCCGCTTCTTCCCCATGAGCAGATTTTCAACGAAAGCTCAATCGGTGGATTTGCGGTAACTGTTCGCTCTGTATGCATTCGCGTATTTCTCAAATCCCTTGCGGATAGCGGGACCGTTTCCTTTTCGTTCGCGTAGATATCGTCCGCGTAAATACGCGTGCAATATGTGTATACGTTGGTGCACACGTTGGTGTACGCGGTACACAACAAAAATTTACAAATACCAACATATTACCAGGGAAGATCCATTTATTCGATACGATACGTGTGCGCTTGTATACCTGCATACATGTACAATTATGTAAACGATACTCGTGTAAATACGAAATATAGAAATACAGCTCGATGTAAAAAATACGAGGAGAACGATATCATGATGCGAACGATGCACGCGAGTATGTGTGTGTGTGTGTGTAACGTGTGCAGTTTCCGTGAAGCGTTAGTGCGGCTTCCGTGAAAAATCGTGCACGGAACCCCAATTGGGCGTGACTGAGTCTAATTTATTTAGTAGCGCAAAGGAGAGACAAGGTTCCGGCGCGGCTCGACGTGGTTGCGCCATTGTATCGGCAGCTTTTCAACGCTTTGAAATATCGTCGTCCTTGTGTGTGAGCTTGTTCGATCCTACGCCATTCTATGCGATGCCCACGAGCTCGAATTAATTCCACCGAAGAAACGATTGTCCGATAACTGTTTACTCGAGGGTGGGAAGGGATTCGATCGTGGAAAAATAAATTCCAAAACCCCCTCGATGAACTTTACCGCGAACGTTCCACTTTGGAATTCCGTTGTTTTGCTTTTTCTTTTTCTCTATTTTTTTCTCTTCGAACGTAAAAATTCCTGGCAGACGGATGAATGGATACGATTATTCGCAATTCCACGAGGACAATAGCTACACGTGAAGGGGGCAGGTTTAGGTATTGAGAATATTTCGACAACGGTGGTAAGGGACCTCGGAGCAGATGCCACGTTGCGCGACACGCTTTCTGAATACAAAACGCGAATCTCGCGTATAGTCGGTCACCGAATCTACTTCGGAGGGCTGGTTTACAGGACAAGGAGGCAATAATCCGGGGAATGGGAATGTTTCGACCAATATTGCGAAAGTTTCAACCGTACCACTCGGATCGACTCGTGGTTGAAGTTCACCCCGATACCCTTCTTCTTTTTCTCTCTGTCCCACGGTTGACATGAATGAAAGGGGGAAAAAAAAGGAATGCCACTCGATGCTCGATGGGATTCCACGCTCATTTCGACGTTGATTAATGACTCCACGAGATTTCAAGAGAATTTTTATCTCGTATACGCGAGAATAAATAGTCGTTGACGCGAGTTTGCAAATTTTCGTGTTTCAGATTGTAACAGATTGAAACGATCGGCAATTTACACGGTGCATATAAAACGATATAAAACGAAACGTTCCCTCGATCGAAGAACTATGATAATTCCGTGTAAAGGGTGTTTTCGTTCTAACATTTTTGCTATCGGTTCATCATTACGATCTATGCGCCCGGATAGAGATCGTATCGGTGCGGTTTAAACCGGTGTTCGCCGCTTTTACTTCCCATTGCTAACGGCACGCATGTGTGACGTTTAATCACGCGAGATCATTGGGCACGTAATCGGTTGTAAACGGCCCCTGATGATGGGTAAGCTCGTTCCCGAAGACGATGCGAACTCAAGATGATCGTGAAAGCTCGTTTAACGGACCGCTTAATAGCCAGATAACGCGATCACATCAGAGGAAACGTACTCAGGGTGGCTCCTTTGTGACCGTTCCGAAACCATTGGTGCCACAAATTACAACCTCGATGACGTTATCGAAGGATGGTAATTTGATCAAGATCACGTTTACACCATCGATCAATTTTATTCTTCCTTTTTTTTTTTTTTCCCTCCTCTCCCATTTTTCCCACCGAAGAATCAAAAACTTGGTATTCTTGCAAAAAATCGAAGCTTATATCGCGGTTCAACGAGAGAATATAGAGCGCGTACGATATAATTTTAAAATACATCATGGAACAACATTTTCCTGTGGAAGATTGTAGAAGCGTGTCGGATATCATTTAATCGAATTGTCCACGATTTCATAGAAGCAGGCTCGCCAACGCTGCTTTTTCCACGCTTTTTATCCCCCGCACAATTTTCACAATTCCCAATCCCTTTTATTACGGTCGTCGCGTGACAGAGTTTTTTTTAAAATCGAGGACACTCGTATCCGAGGATATTAGATAGACCGCAGTCGGTGCAAAGTGGCCGGTGAAAAAGTCTTGTCAGGTATAAGCGCGACCGCCGAATCCTACGGTAGGTGCGACCCAACCAGGCAGATGCTCACGAAGATCTCGTCGACGTGTAACTACGTATGTAGAGTAACGTAATCGCCATCGTGGCCGGTAATATCCGTGGTTGGCCGTAAAGGGAGTTCGTAAACGGCTGCTACGGCTTCCCGCTTCTTCCCCTGTATCTCATTCCTCCGCGGGAATGACTATTCGAAACGTGTGGAACGCCGGTGTACCCGATGGAAAACGAGGCGAAACGGAGAATGAATATAGACTTTGCTTCGCTACTATTCGTACGTGCCGACGTATCCGCGATAGCTTTTATCCGAGTAAGCCGTTTCCTTTTAACCTAAAATGCCGATTAAACTCGCCGCGGTTTGATCCGACAAATACACGATCATTATGTTGCGTTTCGTATACGCGATAATTGTAAGTAAGGAATGCGTTTCGACGAGTTAAATAGCGATTAATTTTTAGAGAATGATTGAACCGATGGAAATTTTTAAATGTTGAAAGTAGCTTGATTAATGTAACGACTTTCTTTTAAAATTTAAATAAAATTCGAGTTCTTTCATCTTTCGTTGTGATCGCTGAAGAATAATTGAATCGTGAATATTTTGTGTAATGTAAACAAGCTGATTATTACATGTATAGCTTTAAGTTAAATTGAGTTCAAGTAACGAAACTCGGAGTATCGAATCAGTTTTAAATGAAGATATGACGTTGGAGAATGTTGTTACAGTTCGTACTGCTAGGTGGTTACATTTGGCGTGGTTCTGGTTCGTAAGCTCTGATACATGGCGGCTCGAGATAATTAGCAGCAAGCTTGATAGCGTTTCTCCGCGATGCTCGTCAAGAGACACGCTTAATTGTGAATCATCAGGAGTGGATGCATCGTGGTATTAGCGCGGCGTTTAAAGGGACGGATTTCCTGTACGTTTGTCGTGGATCTTTGCGGGTTTCTGGCCGCGGATGCGCCACTTTAATTAGCTTTTCTTTCAACCGATGGTTTATCCTCGTCTATCCACCACCGACGATCCTTTAGCTCAGCCGAGGATTCGAAGAGTCGCGTAATTGACACGCGAAATTGTCTCACGTGTTTGGCCACCGGTTTATTTACTCCAAAACTTTCGAGCGTTCGTGGGAGTTCCAGGCATCGAGTTGCCGACAAACCAAATGGAACTTCTCCCAGTCAGCAAACTCGAAAAGCAAAGCTTGCGACATCTGAAGTCTTAATGGATATTTTGACAGGATAATTACCGCGTGGTAATGAGTTTCGTTATATTATTCTCTTTTTTTTCACGAATATCGCGAAGAAACGCTACGAAAAAATGGAAGAAAAAAAATTATGAATATCTTATTAATTCGAAAGAATTTTAATTGATTATTCATTGAGAAAATTTATTCGTAGTGTATAATTTTTGAATTTATTTAAATATATCCATTCATTTTACGATCTCTCTATTTCTTCATTCGAATATGCAGAGACATATCATTAGTTTTTTTTACTCGATCCTGAAAATGCAAGCGAGGAAATTAATATTTTATAACGGTCAGCTGAAGGGAATGAAAAAGTGCCATCAAATTGTAACTATCATAAAATATCAAGATTCAAACCATAAAGCCAGATTACGATACACGGTAATTATCTATTTTATTTTTATTAATTGTGTGTAACATCCGTATCCGATGTTATCCGAATGGCTGCAATAAAAATAAAAACATGCACGTATTGAATAATCGTTTAAGCTCCAGAAATTTTCTATAAACATCATAAATAATAATTACCTAATTATTCGCGTGAAGTTCGCATCTTGAATGGATGAACAAGAATGAGCTTTTTCTGCTAGCAAAAACAGGAGAAAGAAGAAGAACATTCGTAAAATTGTTTAAGCACGTTTTCGTTTAAAATTACAGCCTTAAAGAAGGTAAATTACATAACATAGTCGAGGCACAATTGCAGAGCATGTTTAATGAATCGTGCTCCAACTAACAACAAGGTAATCATTTGCGATGAAGTTGTGTTTTTTACGGACTGTTCTGTTTTTTAGAGGAATATACCGAAGACTTAACAGTTATGAGTCAATTAGAGCATAAATATTCGTGGTTCGTTTATGCTAACATTCTGTTTTTAAAAATAAAAATAAACAAATTTTTTAAAAGATAATATATACATCATTATAATTGTATAATTTAATGTATCGGTTACACACACACTCTAAATATCAGAATATTTATTCTATCCGGTCTTTTGCATCAGAAATGAATAATAGGCATTCCAGTTGAATTATTCATACTTGGTTAATCGTACAAAAGAATTTATTATATTTATATTATGTTCAATCGTATTTTTAATTTCTAATCAATTGTATAATCATTTATTTGTTATTTTTCTTATATCAAACTGTTAATAGTCAGCTTATTAAGATGAATAAGATGTATGTATTTTCCTTAATCGAAATATTCAAACTTTAATGTACCACGATATGCCAATGATATATTATGTTACAATATTGAGCTTGCATAACCCGCCAAAAGAAAGCAAAACACTCGCGCCCTCTGCCCCGAAATCTTATTCGGTTCATGGAACGTGATCGGGAAGTGGACACATATAAAACTGTGTCGTGTTTGGCGGCGATGATGTCGTTATCTATAACCAACATAAAGCCGGTAGTATCGTCGCAGCTGTCTATTCGTAAACACGATCGCGTGTGTGGTAAGACGATATACGAACAAAAGAGACCAGACCAGTTGAGTTATTCGACACTTTACGCAGGTGAAACGCGATCGGATAAAGTAGCGGGATCTATGGATCGATCCGTAAATCTGAATCGTATTTGACGTAGTCGATAGTGAAAGGTAAGCATCTCGTTTCGATCAGTCCCGATTCTGGTTTGCGTGGCGCAACAATTTTTCTTTTCTCTCGGTGTGAACAGGAATCGTGTGCCGGCTCATAGAGTTAGTCGTTAGTATTGTTCGTGTAAACCGTGTGCGAGTGTGTATGTGTCTGTACAGTGTAGAGCACGCGTGATACTTGTCCCCTCGTCGCGGAACAACGACATAACGATGGAGCATGAAAACGATACGAGGGTGAGGTTAAGAAGAACGAAAAGCGAAACAAGGGCCGAGGAGATACAAAAGGCAGAACAGATGGTGCGCAAATCTCAACCTGACAAACCGTGAGTATTTGTTTTGTAACACACAGCACGCTCCGTTTTTTTTTCACACGAGCGTAATCGACTCAACGACTCGGCTTCTATACTGCATACGATTCACGAACGCACTCTGTTGTTTCCTCGACGATCAACAAAACTGTCGGTAATAGGAAACGGTCGAAAAGATAAAATTGGTCGACGACGAGAACACAGTGACACAAAATTTTCAGGCTTCGTGAGCTGCTCTGACGTAACAGACGGCTTTATGAAGTAATACGCATGCGCATTTCACTTTAGATCGAGCGCAACTGGGAACGCGTGATCCCCTCCTCGCGACGATGAATTCTTCGTCTCGTTTTAGTACATGTTCTTCTATACCGTTCTGTCACGTGTTATAATCGATGCGATGGTCAGTCGGTATTGTGGCGCACGGAAATTTTCTACAGCTTGTTTCATAACACCTTTTTTAATAATCTTTACGAAATTAACGAATCTTCGTATAAGTATCTCAAGGATTCAAGTTTTATTAATAAAAATATATTTCTTATTTGATAATCTTTAAGCTTTATGCTTATGATGAAATGAAAATATTTATTTTTCACAAAAATGTTATATCATAAAAGCGAGAGATTTATTATACTAAAAATTTGATTCTATAGTTGGAACATTTAGAACGTTTGTTACTTAAATTTTTAGACTTCGTAGATTTAATATATCTTATTATTGAGAATTATTATCGATAAGTCGAGATTTTATTGTCCGAATAACATGGAATAGGGGCAAGGTACAAAGTCAGTCTCATCATGACTATTCGATTTTATTTCTTGATTTAATCCAATTGCGTATACGAAAAATATAATAATATCTCAGAGTGTATATTCTAATAATTGAACGTGAATTTTAACACATCTTAATAAACTAAAATTATCAATTGAAACCACGGCAAACTGAGGTGCGGTTCTATGAAATGACTAACGTTACGGTAAATATTTGCAGTGACGTGGCTGATTTCCGAAATGAAGCTAGAAATGGAAATGAATGGTGTAAAGTTCATTCAGTAGAACGGACACGAGGACAGACAATTGAATGCAATTCTTGAGTGCACGTCGTGGAAACGAAAACTTTCTTAACGAGCCGTTCGGCCCCCTCTAATGGAACTGCACGTCAAGAAAACACGGCTAAGATAATTCGTTCCTTAGCTATGGCATAATTATTGAGTTTCACTCTTCTTCTCGGTACACGATGTATAACGCCAATCCTTCCCAATTTCTTCGCAATGGCGAAACTTATCTCGATGCAAGGCCCGCGATAACCGACAATGATATTCAAGGTTCATACTTGAAAATAATGAGAATGTCGGATAAAGTCATTTAAAGTTTTAAGCAAAGCGAATGACAATTAACTGTTCCAACTTTGCGATCAATACAATATCTTTAGACGTTAGGAATAAATAACGAACACGTCAAGGAGCGTTAATCAACTCGTCGCTTCTACACGGTTTTTTTTTTCTTGTTTCTTGTATTTTCTAATAAATCAAACCTTGTCCGATCCGTATCGGATGAATCTTAATTGCGTGTCAATACTTCAGGCCCCTGGTTTTTGAGTTTTAACGAATTGAAGAAAATGTTAAAGTGACGTTTTTAGTCATTCTCGTTTTTAGTCATCCTCTTCCTTTTCATTTAAATGAAAAATATCGAATTATCATTATTTGCTTTTTTTACACGGGTAATTAATAATTCATTTCTTTTTTGTAAGAAGTTAAGGAATTTTTTTTTCTTCTAAATAATAATTTTATCTAACGATATATCGTTATGCATATTTAGTCGTACATCCTTTTTTTTATATAATTTTTTTTTAAATTTTTTACATACAATTGTAAGTATGCAATTATATCTTGTACGTGTATATTGCAGATCGTAAAGAGAAACGCAGAAAATATTTTAGATGGCAGCTTAAGGTCGTTAATAATCCTGAAATAATGCTTGCTTTTCTTTGTTCTAAAGATTGTATATATACGGATTTCTATCATGTTTAACCGATAACGTTGTTAGTTTATGCACTGAATTGTCTTAAGATATATTTGCACGCTATTAGATTAGAGTTTGCTGATATATAAATAGCAATATATCAGGCTTAATCGGGGCTCGCTTCGGTTACATAAACAGAACGTTGTCCGTGTGTTAAGTTGATGGTATTTTATTGCGAAGCGTAGCATTAGCATACACACGTAAATTTAACCACGGTATTTGTTATCCTATTCGTTAGGATTAATTTCATCGAAAAAAAAAAAAAAGAATCGATATAATCGAAACAATAAGTATTACCATTTTCGTTAAACTATATATGTAATCTTTGTCGTTATAACTTGCAAATTATTTATTTTCTAATATTATCTTACGAATATAGCAAGCAATATGGCGTCAAACAAAATTCCAACCTTCATTTAATAAGCGTCAAACGGAAGTTATTGACACGTAGAATGGGAATAGGACAATGGTAACTTCGTTTGATATCAAATGTTATGACGTTTGTTCCAGAATGCACTCGCAAACGGATTCTATTAATTAACCAATCAAACGCTCAAAAACCACGCGCTTGCTCGAATCACACAGAATCATGTACGCAGCTTTAGGTAACACGAATCGGAACAACATGTTGCATATTCTCTTTGTGACAATTACAGAATAATTCTGATAGGCATGCTTGTAACAAACCACATACCTTTGTTCGCTGTAATTAATAATCTGTCATCTGCTTTTACACGTGACAAACTTGCATTAATTAATCAATTTTTGTCTTTTGTCTTTAATATAGTAACAGATATCGAATCGGATAAACAATGGATCTTCTAATTCTAATTATCTACATAATACCGCGACCAAAGTTCAAGGCGTGGAACGAGTGGATCTTTTAAATGAGAGGAATTAATTAAAACATGATCCGATTTAACGAGCGTTATACTATAGATTCGATAATATGATTATTCGATAATTCGTTAATTTATATCTCTTTTCTCCAAGATTTTTCTTAACATTTTTAGAATATTTTCGTGCCGTGGAATAGCCAATGTATTTTACTCTAGCATGGTCTTAATTAAAATGTTAATTTTATTTGACGAGATAGAAAAATGTGTGACGATAGAAAAAAATGGTGGACGTGTATGACTATCTGATATATCGGGAAAATACTTTCGTACGCATTTGCGCGAGCATTGAAGAATGATAAATTCATGATTGGTTTATGGGGGCATCCAATTCAAAACGTAGATATCGCGGAACCAAGTGCGTTTCTGCAATCGGAATCGCTAATCAAAGAATCCTGGTAACGTTTTCTGGTAAAGTAGCGTGGAAAAGCTAACTCTCGTTAATATTTCTCCGTAAACAAAAAGGGAGGGTCGACGGGCTGGAGAATCCGGAGCAGTGGGCAAATTCCATTTGTTCAGATTTATGAAGTTTCGCGCGCGCATGCGGCTTTAATATCTATCCGCCGTGGAAAAAAATTTAATCAAGTCCCCTGGTCTAATCGAGCGCGCGATCAAAAATTAATGCGTTAAAAACAGGATTAAATCTGGAGAAGTATTACGAGTAAAAAAAAAAAAAAAAAAAAAAAAAATTAAAGATTACGGGGTTTTTCGTTAGGATGTAAGAGGCGGGGCAGGATCAAGGAGAATGATGTTGCAAATAGCATTTTGTGAAAAAAAGAAAGAAAAGAGAAAAGAAAGAGAAAAAAAGAAAAAGAAAAAAAAAAAAAAAAAAAAAAAAATTAAAGATTACGGGGTTTTTCGTTAGGATTTTAGAGGCGGGGCAGGATCAAGGAGAATGATGTTGCAAATAGCATTTCGTGAAAAAAGGAAAGAAAAGAGAAGAGAAAGAGAAAGAGAGCGAGAGAGAAAAACAAAAATAAACGTAACCACTTGGTGCAGTGGTCATTTCGTGCAAGCAAACGTTAATTAGCCAGACGAGACAAACACTGGTCGTGGGTTGATGATGCCAGAGGCACTTTATTTCAGAACATATCCTTCCGGCAAGCTCTGTTTTATTAGCGAGAGGGGTCAGCTAGCGAAAAAACAGCGAAATCTTGTCCCCCCTTTGACATGCTATAATGACCTGCAAACAAGAATCCGCTTTTTTTTTTTTCCATTCCACCTTTCCTCTCCAGGAAGGAACACTTTTTCTATCTTCAGTTGTTTCCTCTCCCCATCTTCGCGCCCCTCCGTTTTCTTCTACCGAGGGATCGTCCATTATGCCGGAGAATCAGAGATGGCACACCACTCCTCCGTCTCTTAAACAAACGAACCCTACTGTATTTACCCGTTCCGTGTTTGCCAGATACTTCTTGTTTTCGCCAACTTTGCAATTAGGCGCGAAGCGCGTCTGGGTTCGTTGGACGCGGTGAATATCGAATGATCCTACCTTATCCCTACCCCTTTTGGTCGAAGGAACTCGCACGGAAAGCTATGTCTACCTCGTACGATCTTTCAATCCCAGATTGATTTTAAAGTTTCCGTTTACACGATCGCTCGACTCCGACGAACAGCCCGCGCTCTCTCGCCCTGTTTACTCCCAAATCGAATCTAATTCTCCACGACTTTCCCTCCCGGAATGAACACCAAACGGAGCACCAAAAATCCTGTCCATAATATATTCATCCAATCTTCTTTTCGCCGGGTGGAGGGGGAAAAAGTTTGTTATTTTCACCGGTGACACGGTGATTTGTAATTACGCGTTACACGCGTTAGACATTCTGTCGTCGGGGAATGTGATTAACGTCCAACATTTTTTCCAATATCTCTGTCTGCACCCTGAAATGACGCGCTCAAGGGCAATAATGATTCGGTAATATGAAATCGAACGAGAGACGGGTAACAACGATATCCCAGCTATTTTTCTTCTCCATTTTTCCCCTCTCCCCATATATCGATCCCTCCTCGAGTATTATCGGTCCGTTCTCACGAGCCATCCTTGCTCCATGGATGGATAATATTTCCGCAACAGATTCTAACCGTTGGACTGTTCTCGGCCAGT